GTTGGGGATGAATGGAAGATTGCATTCAAAACTTGTGATGGGCTATACGAATAGACAATTATGCCTTTTGGCCTCTCCAATGCACCCAACACCTTTATGCACCTCATGAATCAGGTTTTTCGCCCTTTCATTGAACAATTGGTTGTGTTATATTTCGATGATATCTTGGTATATAGCCAAACCTCTAAAGACCATCTGGAGCATTTACGACAGATCTTTGAAGTGCTCAGGGAGCAAAAACTCTTTGTCCACTTGAAGAAATGTGAGTTTCTACCAAACAAAGTTATCTTTCTAGGATATGTTGTTTCTGACCAAGGAATTGAAGTGGACCAGAGCAAAGTTGAAGCTATTATCAATCGGTCCACTCTGAAAACCCTTCATGATGTGCGAAGCTTTCATGGGTTGGCCTCTTTTTATCGGCATTTCATTTGAAATTTCATCTCTATTACTGCTCCACTCATTGAATGCCTTAAGGGAGATAGCTTTACATGGAATACCAAGGCACAGCAGAGCTTTGAAGAATTGAAAGAAAGGCTCACTAAGGCTTTTGTGCTTGTACTACCTAACTTCGATCTAATATTTGAAGTTGATTGTGATGCCTCTAATGTTAGTATTGGTGTTGTACTTTTTTCAAAAAGGGTGACCAATTGCATTCTTCAATGAGAAACTTAATAATGCAAAGTTGAAGTACTCTACGTATGATAAAGAATTTTACACCATTGTTCGGGCTTTGAACCACTGGAACCACTACTTCTTGTCAAAAAAATTCATCTTATATTCCGATCATTAAGCCCTCACACATCTCAACTCCCAACAGAAACTCAACCACCGTCATGTAGATTGGAGTGAATCTCTTCAAACCTTTCCATTTCTTCTCAAACACAAATCAAGTGTGCAAAATAAGGTAACTGATATCTTAAGTCGTCATCATGTTTTACTTTCCACCATACAGTTGAAGGTTGTTGATTTTGAAGTTGTGAAAGAATTATATGAAGATGATAAAACTTTGGATGGGTCACAACGTTCACAACGTGCCATCAAAAGAAATCCAAAATATTATGCATGAAAGAAATCCAAAATATCATGCATGAAGACACATAAGCATTCAAGTGGTTGTGGGATCATTTCATAGTCAAGCTTCTATTATTAACAACCATGTGCAGGAACGAGTCATAAGTAGTGGTAGAAGAGATAAAAGTTGTTGCATTGATTTTCACTTTCCCTTTGTTATCTTTTTATTTGAATTTATTTCATTATGGTGTTAAGGACCTGTAGTTTCGACGACATATGCTGAAAGTCTGTTAGATTTATTTGTATTTATTGCTCATAAACATCAATAAAGAAAGGCAGATATTTTTAATCCAATTTGTGTGGTCTGTTCTCACCCAAAGAGAATACTTATAATTCATTGTTGTAGTACACGAATCTCTGACTGGGACCTATCAGAAGAAGACCTTGACTTTGGTAACATCTAGAAGTCTAGTTCTTTGCAGCCTTACAAGCAATTTCATCACCAAGATAGGTATTTTTTCAAAGGCAACCAACTATGCATTCCCCAGTGTTCTCTACATCAATATATCCTTTGGAAAGCTCATAATGGATGATTAATTGGACACTTTGGTAGAAGACAAAACCTTAACTCTTGTGAAAGAAAAATTTTATTGTCGCAAGATGAAACAAGATGTTATCCGCCACATTCGAAGGTGTCGCATTTGTCACATTGCTAAGCTTGGAAATCAAAACACTGGTACATATAAACTCTCACCCATTCTCCAAGCTCCTTGGGAAGATGTAAGCATGGATTTTATTGTACGTCTACCAAGAACACAAAGGCAAAAAGACGTTGTAATGGTAGTCGTGGATAGATTTTCCAAAATTGCTCATTTTATGCCATGTCACAAAACTAATGATGCTTCTCATATTGTTGATTTATACTTCAAAGAGATTGTGCGTCTTTATGGAATTCCAAAAACCATCACCTCGGATTGAGATGTCAAGTTCATAAGTCATTTTTTGCGGACTTTATGGAGAAAATTGGGAACACACTTATAATTTAGCTCCGCAAGTCTCCCCCAGACTGATGGTCAAACTGAAGTAATCAACAAAAGTTTAGGAAATCTATTGTGAAGCTTCGTGGGAAAACACATTCGCCAATGGAATCTTATATTAGCACAATCATAATTCTCTTACAATAGTTCTACAAGTCAAAACACAGGAAAATGTCCATTTGAAGTAGTATATGGAAAACGCCCTCTAGTCCTTTAGATCTTCCGCCATTACCCACTACTCGTGAATTCACTGCTTACGTTGATAGGCGTGCCAAACAGATCAAGAAGCTTCATGAAGAGGTTCGATAGAAGGTTCTTCGTTAGAGTTCTAAGTATCAACAACAAGCACAAAAGACCGGATAAATTCAAGGAATGAGACTTAGTATGGATCCATATAAGGAAAGAATGTTTCCCTAATTCTCGTACGAAGTTGTCTCCTCAAGTTGACGGACCATTCCAAGTTTTGAAATGTATTAATGATAATGCTTATAAGATTGAGCTTCCTAGAGATTATGAAGTTTCTGTTACTTTCAACGTTGTTGATCTATCTCCTTACTATGGAGAACATGATGAAGATGTGAAACTCAACGGCAAGTCTCTTCCAATGCAAGAGCAAAGAAGAAAAGAAAAATAAAATTATTATATTGTGTTGACTTTTATTTTTGTCCCACATGGAAGAAATAGGCCTTACATTTCACGCTATAAATAAAGTCTTACTTTGTCCTTTGTAAGCATCCCTAAAATATTACTAAATATAGCTTAAATAAAACATTTGCTTCTCTTCTTCTTTGAGGTTATAGTTATCATTGGCTTAGCCAATCAAGGTGGCATTTTTGGCTAATCTCGCCATAGTGGGGTTCATTCTAACCTCACCACGATTGGCATCCATAGTGGGGTTTCCAACCTTACCAAGATTGGGGCTTCTCACGATGTCCCAGCAAAAATACAATTGAAAGAATAAGGAAAAGCCAAAGCAAATCAACAATAAATTTTGCTCCCTAATGTTATACAAGGTGGAATAAATCACATCTTGACACACCATATCAGCTCTTTTTAGTTTAACGGAATATTGTTAGTGATTCTCCAGTGTGTACTTAAATTAATAGATTGAATAAGATGAGAAAAGTAATATTATGAAGAACAACGAAAGACAACCAAAAAGACCATCGGAAGAAAACTACAGAGAAATGAAGACCTGTTATTTCTAGCAGATGCCAAAGAAGCCATCGCCTGTGCAGACAGAACATCTATAGGACCATAACCATGCAAAAACTATGCACTCCCAATAAGATTTCCAGCTTTCTCATGCCTGAAAATATTGCAATTAAAGATCATCTAATAAATTACATAAAATCATTTAAGTTTGTGAGTTATGACGAAGAGAAGTTTCAACAAGCAAAAATCATATACCACTTAAATTTAGGGCAGTGATCACAGGTCCTTTCTTCATGCAACCAATGTACTTTAGCAAATGTGGTCGTTCCTTTGCAAGACGATCTGAGTAAGTTAAAAAAACATATAATATATTTTGTCGCTAAGAAAAGAAAAATTGCATTTATGCATATTTTGATATACCTGGACGCAAATAGATATCATCATCTGCTTTGATTCGAAAAGCTGGAAGGCTGCTTTAAAATAAGCCAATCTCACAAACAAAAGAGGCCAAGGCATTAATTAAACAAGCCACAGACACAGATTATATCACTTTAATAAACCTAATAAAGAATGTTAACTCAACTCTTACGTTTTGTAAGGAAGCTTCAGACATTGTTCCTCAATATCAATAAGCATGAAATCTCTGGACTGATAAATCTCTTTCTGGAGCCGAGCCATCTTCTTTGCATCTTTTGTTCGGCCAATTACAAACCGAAAGGCTAAAACAATAGCTTGCTCTAATCTATAAAACGGCAAAAAGAGTAGCAGAATTCAAATTTCAATAGACCCCAATCAAAATATAAATAAAAAATGTTAATTACATCAAGAGTCCATTGAGAAATGGGGTCAGAAAGAAACCAAGTTGTCCTAAGAGACGCCCGCCGATCACCCGAATCAAAACCGGTTTGAATCCCAACGAAACCGAGAAGTTTGGGGCGATGAGTGACGGCACCGTTATCGGAGGGAGGGTAGAAGTGGCGGAAAGTGTATAAGGATATACCACAGGGGAAAACGGAAAGGGGTGGTCGAATGATGGTGTTGATGGCAAAGCTTATTCCACCCAGGCCGATGAAGAGGGAAACAAGTGAGACAAGTACTGGGCAGGGTGTTGTAGAAAAGATATTTTTGCGGCTCTAGAGGTTTGTTGGAGTAGGCGGAATCTGCATTGGTGGCCACGGGAAAAGAAGAGGAAGAGGAGGGCCGGTGAAAGAAGAGCCTCATTAGGGAAATTGTATAGTGATTGGAAACAGGGTACCTTTGGTTTAAACTTTAAACCGCAACCGTGATACATTGATCTCTCATTCTCACTAAAACTCCTTACTTTTTAACAAAATAAATTTATCATCATTTTTAAAGTTTTTTTTTTTTTTTTAAAAAAAACCAATTATTTATATATTGTAGCATAAAAGTAGTTTGTAATTGGTTGGTACTTGGTAGTCACTGAGGATGAAGCATTGTTGAAGAAAATTTGTATTTGAAACACCCTGAACCCAAAAATTGATTTAGCAAAGAAAAATAGTAGTTCAACCGAAAAAAAAGTGAACCAAACCACAAGAATGATTGTAGCCATTTGGAGTTTGGTAAGAAAGCCAACTTCAAAACCTGTGTGCTGTTCTTTTCAGCAGCACCAGAAAATGAATTTTTATATTTAATGATACATCAATTCATCATCACATTCTAAGGCTAAAACAAGTTACATTCCCCTTTTTCTCCTACCCGGGCAGTTGCCAGTTGCCTCCCCGGAAACAATTTATAAGGAACAAACTAATTGACCCAAAATGAAACAATTCCACAATATAAACCATAAAAGATAAATCGTTTTGATATCTTCAAGCCCAGATTGCAAGCAAAGACATCAATCCAGCTCCAAAGAAAAGCATAAAATATGAAACAACTTGAAGCCTAAAATTGCAGCTCATCCTCTTACTCAGAAAATCAGCAGCAATTAGATCCACTAAAGCCATGTAAACTAGAATTCCAGCCGACATGGAATCTAAGACACCTTCGACAATCAATGCACCTGCGCTATAGGGGTTGTACACTGAAGCAATTCCAGTACCAATCCCAATACCTAATGGAGTAGTGATGGCGAAAAAGCATGCCATTAGTGCAGCTGATGAAGTGTTGAATTGAGCTTGGGAAATACAACCCCCAAGTGCAAACCCTTCAAAGAACTGATGGAATGATAATGCTGCAATTAAAGGTCTTATTGTACATGGACTGTTTGAAACTCCAAGTGAAATCCCAATAATAATCGAGTGTGATACGATTCCAAGTTCCAACACCTGCAAATGGACAAATTATACACATCACAATCATGAAAACAAATGTTTCTTACCATATTACCAAATTGACTATAAAATAAGCTAAATTCAATAATTTATAAAGACCCTTAATTAAAGAATTCCAAATCCATCAGCTTCAATGAACCATCAAACAACGGCCATTGACCGCCCACCCACCCAACACCAATCTTTTGTAAAAATCAATAGAGTTAAATTAGGCCTTAATCATAAGCTGATACAGATTTATTTATCTTCTCCAGTAAATACAACGGCGAAAAGCCAAAATCACCATGCAATTAACAGCAATAACTACCACCCTGTCAAATACAACTGACAACACAATAAATAAATAAATAAATAGAAAAGTACCTGCGAAACGACGACGTGCCGAACACCATTCTCCTCATCACCATCACCAAACCCGTGCGAGTGCCCGTGTCCATGACCTTGCCCGTGTCCGTGTCCGTGTCCATGGGCTTGATCCTTGACGATGACGAGTCCCTCACAAGCGTCCTGGCCATGAGGGTGGCTATGTCTATGGTGCGCCGCGTGCGCATGCATCCCCACAATGTGCATGCCACCACCTTCCTCTTCACCGAACACTTTCCCATTCCGCTCCTTGTTATCCACAACCGGAACAATACCCGACTCCGACACAGCATCAACCGATCCAACCCGACCCTGATCCTCAGTGGTCCGGGTCAGCCCCTGTTTCCTCTCGTAATACTGAGTTCCCATAAAATCAACAAGAAGCGTCAGCAGAGCAGCCACCATGGCGAAAAACCCGGCGAACGGGAACTTGGACCATGGGTATTCGGGCAAACACGAGTCATTCAAAGCCTTGGAACCTCCGGATAACATGTGCACGAAACCGGTGGCCAGAATTACACCAGCGGCAAAAGCTTTAGCGGCGACGAAGAGGCTGCCGTCGGTGCGTAAAAAACGACGGTGCTTGCCGACAAGAGGAATTGCGACTCCGACAATTCCAGCGATCAGAATAGAAGCAATTGCAACGAATTTGAGAGTAAACGCCGCCGCATCGTTACGGCAGGTTTCAAGGTCAGCGGATTTGCAGTTGGCAGTAACCATTGAATCCGAGATGCTCTGCAAAAATAACCCTGTTGTTGGACCCAAAAAAAGTATTAAGATTTGTTATGATCATCAAATTAAACGGAAACCCAATAATTAAGATTAAACAGAGAGAGCGAATGAATGAATTTACCTAGGAAAACCTGAGTTTTTGATCGAAAGTAATCGAAAAACTGCAACTCCCAAAGTTCCTGGACAAACCAGAACGACAGCGTTAAATAAAAAAAAATTGAAAGTTCATAGAGACAGAGAGATGGTTAGGATCCCAAAGAATGAAGCTCACCTCGATGAATAACATGGGAAGAGAATGGAAAGGGTATTAATAATGAAAATGAACAAAAATAATAGTGAAAAGGTTGTTGATGGGATTTCTCAGCGAACAAGAATCTTTATTTATGAATACAAAAACAGAAACAGAGAGAGTGAAAGACGTAATCGATCGGCTAAAAGCGAAGACCGATGCTGTTATCTTATATTTGCAAAGCTCGATACAGAAAGAGAAAGAAAAAGGGAATAACGAGAGAGTGTCGACATAATTTGACGAAAAGGAAGAGTAAGAGAAGAAGGTAGAGTTTGCAGTTGCAACTTTTTGCAAGAGAATGAGGGAGATAGTGTCGACATATGTGTGAAGTCCTCTATTGAAATTGTGATTTATATATATATAAGTACCGGTACGTGTCGTTTTGTCTTGTTTCTAGTTGAAGTTCGCATGTGTGATGAGCACATTGTGGATTAGAATATTGTATAGTACTTTCTGACGCGCCCACAGGAGTTGCGGTCTAAATTGTGTTGGGAAAATGATGGATCACTTCAAAAGTTGCATCTCCTCTCCGCCACTTTTTTCGTACAAGTAAACGACTTTTTCCCACCCAAGGTGTGCGACAGTGAGCGACACTTTACAATTAAAAAAGTTTTAAAATATCTAAAATAACGATTCGACAAGCAACGGAAGAAGATAAGAAAAATTTTGTACAGTAAAAATCGATAGAGCGAATAATGATAATCGATAAAATATTCATCTTCGAAAATCAGTTAAAAACGAAAAAACCTAGGTTTCGTTTGGTTTAAAATTTGAGGGTTTTGAGAAAAGTTTTTTAAAAAAAATTGAATTGGGCGGGTATTACGATGTAGGATTTATAAATTAATAAAATACCATATATATTTATTTTTTTACAAAATACCCCCATAATAAAACATTAAAAGTTAATAAAAATACCTCTAACCTACCCTCAAACACCCCCAGTCGGCCACCACCACCGGAGGTGGCCGAAGTCACCTTATGGGCGTATGACCGGCTGGATCTTGCCGGTCATGTGCCGATATAGCCTTTTCCGGCCAGATCTACGACCAGATCTGGCCGTCAATCGCCAGATCTGGCCGTATTTGCTCTCAACTACGGCCAACAAACGGTCGTCGTTGATGGTCAACGACGACCGTTTGTTGGCCGTCGTGACCGACTGTTACGGCCAGATCTTTGGCCTTAGTCTGGCCTTTTCCGGCCAGATCCACCGTGGATCTGGCCGGAAAATGCTAGATCGGCGCACTATCGGCCAGATTCAGCCGGTAGTGCGCCATCCTACCAGATTCCGGCCATTTTCCGGTGGTGGTGGCCAGAATCTGGTAAATGTGGATTATTGGGGTGTTTTTATAATTTTAAAAAAAATATTTAGGGGTATTTAATTAAATTATCAAATTTAAGGGGTTTAAAAAAAGTTGAATAATATTGGGAGTAGTATTCCCAAAAATATGAGTTTTTGGGTATTTTACTGTTTAACTTTTTTAGGAATACTAAAAGTAGTATTCTCAAAACTGAAACAAATGAAGCCCTAGTTTTTACGATGACCAACAATCAACAAAAAATCAAGTGTTAGAGTAAAAAGAGTTTTTGTAATGAAAAGACCGGAGGTTCAAATGATAATAACAGAAAAAAATTTGTCTGTAGAGTCAGCTTTGGGTATTAACGAAATATAAAATTTAAGTGAGAAAATAGTATTTTGAAACTTTTTAGGTGAAAATGTGTCATTAAGACAAACCTTGGGTGAGAAAAAGACCGTTTACTCTTTTTCATAGTTATAAGGTTATCAATTTGAGTAGTGTCTGTTACAGTGTCATGGTCTCAAACATATTATAGAGGCATATTACTCACTCTACTCAAATTTTGTCATTCCAAATACAATTTGATTACACTTTAAATACACAGAAGAAAAATAATTCTCGTATGTCACATATATTTTATTAACACTATAAAGAATTTAATGTAAAATGATAATTCCTCCTAGGATTTGTGTGCTTCATGCTAAAAAGCAAAGTAGTTGGGCGGCCTCTTTCAAACTGAGTATGAATGACTAGATTGATGACTTGATGTAGCATAGAATGATAGAAATAACTTTCACCAAAAAGAAATGCAATGTTTGGCCACTAAGGAGAAGAGAGAAACAGTGATCCTTCCTTCTCTTCCGATCCCAAACATACTAGCATATTTTACATACTACTGTATTTGTAGATAATAATAACAGTTTGACATTATGACAATATTAAAAATTCATTCTCACATACCAATCCCTATAATATATTCCTTTGTCACTTTGTATTAATTTCCAAAATGGAACTTGTTCCCACCCAAGGTTTAGCGAAATGACAAGTTCTCACCCCTGGTTTCATAAATTTTATATTCTCACATTTAAATTAATACTGTTTCATTTCTTTTAAAACTCAAAGACTAAAACGGTCATTTATTATATTTTAATATTTCATTTCTGCAAAACCTTCAATCACCAAAGCCAGGAACAATCCAAAAACCAAGAAAAATCAACACAAAGACTTCTGAATCAATCACATTCAACTTCCAAACAATCACAAATCTCAATCTCCTTTCAAAAACCTCTGAAACAAACACTAATGAAACTTAAAATTCACTAAAATCTTGAAACCCTAAGGGAAGAAGTGGTCAACAAACGGCGGGCGACCGAGGCTAGGGATGTTTGGGGGTTTTAGAGAGGGGACGTTGTGGTGCAAAAGGTGGTGGTGGGGAGAATTTTCGGTGATAGGAGCGATCAGAATTTTGCTGGGAAGACACGATAATTGTGCGAAACCCTAAGGGGTTGGCGATAGTGGTCGGCATGCAATTGTGGTGAGGGAGGTTAAGGGTTTTGGTAGGGGGACTTTGATGTCACTAATGGTGGGGTCGGGGTGATCTTCGTCGACAAATTCAACTGGAAAAGCTTGAAGCCCATGGGTCAAGACAGTGGGCGAATGGTGGTGTGATTGGGTGGGAGATGAAAAGGGTTTTGGTGAGTGGGCTAAGGGGAGTGTGTTGGTGGTTTCAGGGTGTTAGACGACGCTGGAATCAGGTTAGATTGGTCGGAGATGTCAGTTGCGCGTTGGTGGGTTTATTGCACTGGAATTAGCAATTTTGGCCCAAAAATGGCCAAATTTGAATTGGGGAAAGATGAATCGAGGCTAAGGGTAAACCGGGTGGTTCAATAGAAGGTGAACCGTCATCAGAAAACACAGCAAACAACCGATGGCAATGCTGACAGTTTGGTAATAGCAAAGGAGAATGAGATGAAGAAGAAGAAGATCGAAGGGCAATTTGGTAATAGTGTTGTTTGCATCTGTGTTAGAACCTAACAATCACTAACTGTGTTATTTTTAAGGGTGAGAATCTAAAATATATGAAACAAGAGGTGAAAACTTACTGTTTCACTATCACTAAGCCTTGGGAACATGTCGTTTACTCATTTCGGAAACGGAACTTGTTCCCTTTGTTACGTCAATGCTTTACTCATTCCAGTTTGTCCCAATTTAAATATTTTCTTTGAGTGAGAAAGTAAAAATTATGAAACATTTTATTCTTATTCAAACTTATAACTATTCTTCTAAATGGGCTTTCTCAAGGCCTGCGATACTTAGAGCCTGGCCCAATAATCTCTACATCACTCATAATCCCGCTTGGTATTTGGCAACTGTTACTATGCGTTAAACAGGCGTGAATCTATATTTGGTACTGTGTCTAATCGTAGGTGAGTGATGAATAATACTAGAGACAAATTTTCTGTATAAAGCTGCATATAAAATGACTTGATATAAGATGAATGGAATAATAAATATAGAAGTAAAGTTCATAATTTTTTTGTTAATAAAATACTTAATCAATGATGTAACTCCACCCAACCAATCAAAGTTTCTAACATCTTTTATTATAATTATTAATTTAATTAAATAATTATTAACAAAAAAATAATTTTAAATTGAAATTAGTATTTAATTTGTTAACATTTATAAAGCACCAAATTCACTCATACAAACAGTTTTGTCCTCTCTTATTAAATTTTTTGGACGGCATTATCTTTGTTATTGTCATTATTTACAAAAATGTCATTATACTCATAACTAGCCACCACCGTCAACCACCGCCAATCACCGCCTGAGGCTACCAAAAGTTACCATAATGGCGTACGACCAGTCGTATATGGCCGTCATGTGCCGATGAGGCTTTTTCTGACCATGGATCACAAATCCATGGTCGAAAAATGCTAGATCTGGCTATTTCACGGACATAAATCTAGCTATGAAATGGCAAGATCTGTGCCAACAGCCACCAGCAGTGGCTTGGGGTGGGTAAGAGTGTTTTTGTTAAGTTTAAAACATTTTTTTTTTGCTATGGTGTTTTTGCTAAATCTGAAAAGTAAAGGGTTAAAAGATTATTCAAAAAAATAATAATAAAAAATACTGTTATATTAATATTTAAAAAAGTGGACAATTTAGTAATCTATATAACATACCCACTCGTTTATCCTCCCAACCAAACATATTATTTACTAATTTATTCAAACCAACCAAACACATTTTCTAAACATTTTCAGTAATCTTCAAGATGATCTTTTATTCCGATAATATAATATCCCCTTATAATAAAATATTATATGATCCAAATTCCCCCAAAGTATTAAATATTCTTATTATAGAGCTTTTTTAAATTTACATGGAGGTTTTTTTTTTTTTTTTCAAAGAGATTATAAAGCTCTCTAATAATAATTGATGTGATTCCTACCAAACGATCTCATATAGACGAAGGAAATAAACTTTGGTACTTAATAGCTTTTGATGTTTATAATAATGCTTACTTTTAAAACCTTTCATAAAAAAAATTATTGTATAACAAATTTGAAATATTTATAATAGTTAGTTCAATAAATTAGAAACTAAAAATTACAAATCGTAAAAAAATATTTACCTTATCGGATAGTAAAAGATGTATGTTGAAACTACTATTGAGTGATCAAGTGATCAACTAAAATTTTTGAATGTATTACTAAAGAGATCTTAAAGTCGATTCACTTCAAGAGTAGTCACTATCTGACTCGAAGTGACTATTAAAAACTGTTATCTAACCTATAATTTTAAAGCATTTAAGAAATTATAGTTAAGATATGTGCAATATAGGTATCCCAGTCCCATGGAAAAAAAAAAAATTAAAAAAAAATATATATATTAATAATAATAATAATAAGATGTACCGTGTACGTTGAATGGGCTAGGATATGAAAATTGGAAAAAAAAAATCAAATTGTCAAAATCTATAGACTATAACGTGTATTGAGCAATCATATGACTG